CAACCATTAGGTTTCAGAGATTGAAAATACTTTGTGTGAAAATTTCAAGGTTTAAAAAACCTTAAAACCCACCAGCCTTTAAGGTTTCTGCTGAGAATGTTCTGTTCAGGTGAGCCTGCCTTTATATGTGACATGTATTTCTCTCTTGCTGATTTCTGTATACTTTCTTTGTTCTACATATTTAGTATTTTAACTATAAATTTCTGATCTTATCTATTGGTTCTCAATGCATCCTGAGCTAAGGTTGGCAATTCTTTCAATAGATTTGTTTTTTATGTTTCTATACTAGGTTTTGGTTCCTTTCCCCCTTCCTTCCTTCCTTCCTTCCTTCCTTCCTTCCTTCCTTCCTTCCTTCCTTCCTCCCTTCCTCCTTCCCTCCTTCCCTCCCTCCCTCTTTCTGTTTTTTCTTCTTCCCTCCCTCCCTCCCTTCCTCCCTCTCTCCCTCCCTCCTTCCCTCCCTTCTTCCCTCTGTCTGTCCCTCCCTCCCTCCCTCTTTCCCTTCTTCCCTCCCTTGCTTCCTTCCTTTTCTTTTAAAATTCAACACACCATTTTTCTTTTACCATGTCAAGGAGAGGACTGAGTCACAATAAGAGTTGGGGTGTCATTCTTCACTGTGGAATTGGTACTTAGGGCCAGCAACTCATCTGTTTCTCCTGAGTATCAGTCACTGTCCTGGGTCAACTTTGATCTCCTGCTTGAACCTGCAGCTTCTTGTGGAAGCTGTGGGACTCCCTATCCCTGTGGGTTTTCCTTGAGGACATATTAGACTTCCTCCCTGAGTCCCCAGCTGCCATCACTGTGTTGCAGAATTCCCTGCATGCTCACGGACCTGATCCCAGGTCAGATCCAGCCCCACCACAGTTTCCACCGCTCCTGTGTATCTGTGACCTTATCAAGTGTCAGCTCGGGTCTCCTCTCCGGGTCTGCAAGTTACACTTGGCATGACAGAGGACAGTTTATGGGAGTCAATTGTCTCCCACCAGAAGGAATCTAGAGACTGAACTTAGGTCATCAGGCAAGTACCTTAATCTACTGAGCCATCTTGGCTATCCCAAATCACCTTATGCTTAGAATGGAATGTGTGTGATGTTCGAGAGGGATCCTCTATGAGAAGGTTGACATTTTCCTTTCCTCTGTTGGATTGGGAGGGTAGGGGTGTCTAGTGTGGCAGTTACACCTTTAACCCTGTAACCAGGGCACTCGGCTAACTCTTAGTGCCGTCCTAAGTTTCCAGAGATGTGTCTGTCCTTATCGCATGGAAGAGAGTCTCATTTCTTCTCTCCCCATGTCTGTGTACCGACGAGTCCAGCTAGGAGCAGGGGTAAGAGTTTAGCGCCATTACTATTATCTGCTCAAACGCCCCCCAGGTCCCAACCTGCAATGGATGACCAAATATTTATTCACGCTGTGATATAGATTGTGGTCTGTTTCTCTGAACAACCCCTCCGAGCTTCAGAAAAAAGATCAGTTGTGAGGTGGCAGGTGTGTGTGTTCATGCTATTTCCACATTAACTGGGTAAGGGATGCAGTGGACCAGGTTTCTAGAGGACTGAAGTGGATCCTACAAATGGATCCTAACGATGGCGGGTTGTGCAGATTCATCTTTTGGGGGGGGCAAGAAGGTCTTCTCTATGCTGCTCAAGCTGGCTTCTTATTCACAGCCATCCTCCTGCCTCAGCCTCCTGAGTTCTAGAGTGACAGATGTGAGCCACCAGCACCAGTTTCTTAAATACAGTTATTTTAAATGTTCTCTGTTCAATTTCTGAACACCCCATCAGTCTATCCCAGTGTGCTAGCAGGGCCTTTTGGAAGCACTGTGGGCTTCGCTATGTGCTGTGCTTATTTCAAATCTTATTAAGCCAGAAAGTGGTGCCTGGCAAGTGGTTGATACCGCTTTGGTCATCCATGCTTCCCAATTCATTTCTATTGTGCTAATTAAGCCTCAAGTGATATTTCAAGTACAGATTGTTTTTTCCATGATTGGGTCTCGGCCAGCACATCAGTGCTGGAGACAGGTGCTCACTCGTTTGCAGGGGACTTTACATTTGAAAGATGTAAGCTTGGCCAATTTTGCACAGATTCCTTTGGAAACTCTTACGACAGGGCAGACAGATTAGTTTATAATAAGGAGCCCCATTCTTCCTCCACAAAATAGGCAGGGAACTCTTTTCAAATGAATCACACCCTCAGATCATGGATCTGATATAGTATGTATGATCCGTACAAAGATGAATGAGTGCAACCCTGGAGGGCATTGTTCTATAATGTGTCGTGGGAAAGGCCCTTGATTTCAGGTCCAAGTCTCAGTCTACGTTGGCTTGGGCAACTTTGAAAGATGTGCTTGACTTTTTTTTTTTTTTTTTTTTTTTTTTTTTTTTTTTTTTTGTTTTTTTTTTTTTTTTTTTTTTTTTTTTTTTGAGACAGGGTTTCTCTGTGTTGCTTTGGAGCCCGTCCTGGAACTAGCTTTTATAGATCAGGCTGGCCTTGAACTCACAGAGATCCACCTGCCTCTGCCTCCCAGGCTGGATTAAAGGTGTGCGCCACCACTGCCCAGTGTGCTTGACTTTTATAACACTTACATTCATGAATTAAACAATGCAAAGTATTTGTCTTCAAGGTTAGGTATCAGGATGCTGTAACACGCTGGATGAGAGCATCTACTTTAACGAGTGCCCAGCTAATGTTACTACTGCTGCTACTGTAAACGAGCGTCCTCAGGGCTGTTACTCATCTACACTGAGGCTTGAAAAACCAGACTACACCAGATTTTATCGGAATCATTGAGATTATGATGTAACATATCCTACCAAAGCCCATTTTAACTTCTCTCTGCTCAGAATATCTAAAATAACAGATGCACTCATAAAGGGAAGCACACGTCCCAAAGCACTGGAGTTGGGGTACCCAAAAGGATGTCTTTAAGTTCCATAATTGGGATGGGCTTTTGGGAAGGGCTTCTAGGGGTAACATCTTTAGAACAAGTTTGGCTCCCAGGGTCACCCTAGAGTCAGTAAATGAGTTTGTAAACACAAGGAAGCTGGACCCAAGGCAGCACCAGAAGGTCTTAGCTGGGAAGGCTAATGGATGTGTTGTAGCAGTCAGAAGGTCGGTTACCAAGTGGTCCACAGAGGAAACCAAGGGAAAATGTGACCTGTGCATGAGTGTAGCTGACACCATGGCAGACAGTGTGAAAAGTGAAAACCTGCTGTGTATCCACAGTTAATATGCTTTTTGCTCTCTATGGTCCAGGCAATATGACCCTCTTTCCTCAAGAGAAAACTGGAGATTCATTCTATAAAGAGAATGAAAGGTTCTGAGGAGCTCCAGGTAGATTTGAGGCTATGGCATTTATAGAAAACACGGTGGGCTTACATATTGATCTTTTTTATATCTATAGACTTTTCCCTTATTGAAGCAGTGCATTGGGACAATGTCCAACAATCCTTCTGTTGGGCTGAGTAATCAGAATGGTCTCTTCCTCAAAATGATATGAAGATACTGGATAGATTCTATGGGTTTTAGATCGCTCTGCGCTCCGTAAGGTTTATACATCATGATAACACTGAGGTCCCCGGTAGAGAGTGTGACTTCACTGCATGTGGAAAGATGGATGGGCAGGTGGGCAAGGCTGGTGCAGAGATGGAGTAGACTCTGGCTCTCTCCTGGCAGGAGAGCAGCAGGTAATTCTACAACCAAAGAACCAACAAATAGGCATGAGAGCATAATATTTAGAGGGGTGGAGATCAATAGTAAAGAAGAAATGCGAATAGATGGATGGGTGCCCCTGGGGACAGGAATCAGCGCCATCCGGGTGGGGCCAGACTACTCTCCACACCATAACTCGAGTGGTTTTAATAGCAACTTCTGTGTGGCTATAGACTCCTTAAATGACTTTAGACTCAAAATAAGGAAAATGTGTATTTTTAAGAAGTCACCCAGACCACACCACTAACTTTAGTGGTATTTTGCCTTGACCTGCTTCCTCATTCACACAGTTTATATGAATAAGACTTAATACTTTTTTTTGTTTCCTGTGCTTCCTGTGTTGTGTGTTTCACTGCCTTGTGAAACTCGGGATAGCCTGGGCTTCTCTGAAACCACCAACAAATTCCTCTCCATTGGGTACTATGGGAAAGGTGCATTCCAAGAAGGCCAGATTTTATTAGGGTGTTCTTTCTCGGTGGTCAGAACACCATGAGACACACTGTGCACAAATACGGTGTAGCGTGACTTCAAAATACTAAAGAACAGTGGCTTAGCCGGCGAGGGTTGCTTAGTAACGAAGAGTTTGTGTGTAGAACGTGGCAGTGTGACTTAGTAGTGATTGTAGCTCCTTTCCTGACCCCCATGTTGCTTCCTAGACAATGGTCCATCACAGTCCTGGAAGACTTGGCTGTCAGGGCGAACACAGCCCCTCCAAATAGTCCTCACATAAAGTAGGGGGGCTGCTTTGATTGGCAGGACCAACATACTGTTAGCCCACCCAGCCCAGCTTTAGGTACTGGGGTTCTTGGCACTGAAGAGAGTGTGCACACCTGGGAGGAGGGATGCCTAAGAAGTGAAAAGTGCGGGAATTAGAATAAAAACCGTCGAGCCCTTGGAATATAAGGTGGAAAACCACACCACTGAAATGCTAAAAATAAGCGCAGTGTTCACATTTCCCCTCACAACCATCACAATCTTTCATTGTGACAAGGATTCATGTAATTTCTCATTGTTAGTATGTATGGGATGGTCAGTGTGATTCATGATAATTAGCTCTAACTTTGCTTGAAGGATTCTCACGCGGTCATAATTGGAGTTTAGTCCTTCAGAAACGCTTTCCAACCCTTTCTTGACAGTCCGATTCCCCCAACGCTAGGTCCGATGGCAGGTTTCTAGACTTAAATGAGATCCTGAAAAACAAAACAACAAAAAACAGGCTTCTGTGAACACGTGGGTGTGTCTTGCCATTTGATTCTGGCTGTAACTGCATTTCTGTGCACTTTTCTCTCTCATAGGTCTACCGTCTGCACGCCTGGCTGCCCCTAACCTCACAGTGGAGGAAGGGAACTCTGTCACCCTTTCCTGCCGTGTGGCAGGTGACCCACTCCCCACGCTGTACTGGGACGTTGGGAATTTGATTTCCAAACACATGGTAAGGCCCGTGTTTGGTTCTGTCTCGTGGTTGACGATGAGGAGATCGTGTTGAGCATACCGATGTCCACTCTCTCAGACTCCTTTTTGTTGCTGTAGTAAAGGGCCCAGACCACAGCGACTTAAAGGAGCAAGGGTTCATCGGGTGGCCATCTCCAGGTTACAGTCCACCATAGCTGGGAAGTCACAGCCTCCGGAGCTTGAAGGAGCTGGTCATATGAAGTTCACAATTAAGAGCAGGGCACAGTGAATTAATGTATGCATGTATCAACTCATTACCTTTTTAATGAGTTCAGAATCAAAACAGTATGACCTGCGTCACTCACATTTAGGGTGGCTGATCCTACTGTAATGAATCTGGTTAAGAAAATCGCTCAAAACCATCCAATAGTTTTTGTCTTATGGGTCCACATGTAGACATTTAAAAGGAATTTTTGATATCATTTACTTTCTACTTGCCCTTAATTAGGGCTAATTCAAGATTACAATTTAGTTATCTGTACACATCGGATTTAGATAATAATGTATTCTGTGCCATTCTGAGCAAGGAAGCAACAGTCCTATAGTCTTTGTCCTTGGAGGAAGATGGATAAAAATTCAAGAATTCAATCAAACTCAGACACTGAGCAATTGAAATCCAGAACAAGAGAATAACTTACCATTACTTGAGTCCGGAACCTGCAAGAAAAGTGTGTGTGCGAATAAGTGTGTGTATGGTGTGTGTTTAACAGTGTGTTTAAGTGTATATGTGTGTGTGTGGTATGTGTGCAAGTGTGTGTTTGTATATGTGTGTGTGTATCTATACTCTATTTCAGGAAGAAAAGTTGATACTTTGGGATAAATTCTAATCAAGATTTTTTCTTGTCTGTTAATTGATTTGTAGAATGAGACGAGCCACACGCAGGGCTCCTTAAGGATCACGAACATTTCCTCTGATGACAGCGGGAAGCAGATCTCTTGTGTGGCGGAAAACCTGGTGGGAGAAGACCAAGATTCCGTGAACCTCACTGTGCATTGTACGTAGCGGGAGCAACGTGTGCTGTCCATGGGTGATGACTGTGGATTTCAGGCTTTTGTTTGTGCTTAACTAAGAAATGCCAACCCCCGGTTCTCGTCCCGAGCAGTCCGTTTAGAGAGACCACTCGCTCCTGCTCAATCCCCAAAGCATAAGGGTCTGCTTACATTTGAAGTCAGATGATGGCCAGGCTGTTTGTCAAGCTTAAATTAGACCTCGGTCATTTCAGGAATTAAAACATGGACATTTAGAATCTCATAAAATTGGACCACACTATAATTCAGCACATTTGAAAGTGTGTCTGCTATTCAACAACCACAGCGGTTTTAAGGTTCTCATGCTTCATGCTGACGAGTCAATGGCAACAGCAACAGTCACTGTGTGGGTTTGTCTGGTCCAGTTTAGGGTGTGTCCCATGGGATCCGAGAGTCAGGGAGCATTTCCCAAGCCATTTTCAAATTTAGTAATTTTTATAGTTATTTTAATTATTTAAGGAAGAACTGCTAATGAAAAAAGTGTCTCTCATTATTAATGATGAATTTATATAATATTAAGGTGTGTGTGTGTATGTGTGTGTGTGCACGTGTGTGTGTACGAGCAAAGCCAAAGTGGACATCAGTGAACACTTCTTATCACAGAGACTCACTGTGTTGTGTGAGTCGCGAGCAGGGCAAGCCGCTCTCTGAAGCTCCTGGTAGGGAGCTAAAGCGGTCAGATGATACAAAGTGACTGACCCAGAGTTGCTGATCGTGGGTTTTCTTAAATTAAATGATGGTTAAATAAAAGCCCTTCTTAATGATGCAGAGCGCAGCGGGGAGGAGTCCGAGCTGCCCGGTGCTACTCACTCCTTCTCTCTTCCTCAGTTGCACCGTCCATCACATTCCTCGAGTCTCCAACCTCAGACCACCACTGGTGCATCCCGTTCACTGTGAGAGGCAACCCCAAGCCCACGCTCCAGTGGTTCTATAACGGGGCAATACTGAACGAATCCAAATACATCTGCACTAAAATCCATGTGACCAACCACACGGAGTACCACGGTTGCCTCCAGCTCGACAATCCCACTCATATGAACAACGGAGACTACACTCTGATGGCCAAGAACGAGTACGGGAAGGATGAGAGACAGATTTCTGCTCACTTCATGGGCCGACCTGGAATTGATTACGGTGAGTCCCTGGAGGTTTTACCCCTGGGGAGAGGGGAGCGCGGCACAGTGAGTTACTGGGTGGGGAAGCCATCCATCGGCCTGGCTTTAATGTTGCACTTTTGACACCGGGGATCTGCTCCTCGTGGAAAGTGTGGAGAGTAGACAGCTAGGAACTGGAAACCTTGGTGAGATGTTGTCTCCTAAAGACCGTCAGCCTAAAGTGTTCGCAGGATGAAGTTGTGTCAAGAAAGGCAACTAGTGTGACCCCCAGAAGGCGGGACATGCGCCAATATGAGCAGTGATCAGATCCACAGGGGATTACTGAGGGAGAGCATTGGTAACCATGAGATCTCCCATCAGCAGTGCCGAGTCCCATGGAAAACCAGGAGCAGAGTAACTGGTCACTCATAAAATAGTCGAGTTATTTTTGACCCTCATATCCAATTGGGGTCAGAAAACCACCTTCTTATTAATGGGTTAAAAACCAATACGGGGACCCTTGCTTACCCGGCTGTGGTGAGCAATCCTTCTGTCAGGGGAGAAGGCTCTGCTGGAGTGGCAGGAAAGCTTCCGTCAGGAATGCAGTGATAGTGTGGCAGAGGGCACACCATTGCCACTCCAGCTACTGCCCTTCAGAAGAGTGTCTGGTCTGCTGTGGCTTCTTGCTCAGGTGACTGCTCATTGTAGGGCTAGCCTGCTTTGTCATGTTGAGACCTGTGTGTTGGAGCGCTTCACTCTAGTAGCGGTGAGTTAGTCTAAATCACACCAGTGATGTGGAAGAACAAAGGGGAAAGAGAACTGGTGGAGGTGTGGAGCAACAGCTGTTTGCACAGCTTTTACCTGTGGGGTTTGTAAGGGAGCGTTGTGGGCACAGGCGATCCCTGATTCCTGCAAGGCTGCCTTCGTTCCTGCAAAGGGAATTTGTCTGACAATAAACAAGAGTACAGTCATCCTCTTTGTGCAAGAACCTCCTATTTCTTCTAAATATACAGGGTCCGTGAGCATGTTGGGAATGTAGTTTGAGTTATGCCAGTTTTACCAACAGCCCTGCGGGAGTATGTAAAACAAGCACCGCTCAGATACGACACCTGGACAGCCCTGGTTGTTGCGGTCAAGCCCATTAAATCTTCCTCTTAGCTGAGAGTTTAGCTGCTTGCCTGTGTTTGCTGTAGTAAATCTCTAGATGGGCGAGCTTCTTTCTGCGTCCTTGTGGGAACAAGAGCTTCAGAACAAAGCCAGAAACTCCATCTTGGGACTGCAGATTTTTGTTTGTTCTTCAGTAAAATTTTTATTAGTGAGTAATTTTAGGTCTATGGAAAAGTTGTAGATAGTCAGAGAGTTTCTGGAAACTTCTGCCCAGGCTTCCCAGCGTTGACATTTTCTGTGACTATGGTCCATCTGTCACTGAAGAACAGGGCACTGGGGTGGTATAATTTCCTGAACTTTAGGCTGTATTTGGATTTTGCTGTCAACAGCCTTTTAGAGCTCTTTGGGGGTGAAAGTTGATTCACGTGAAGGCCCAGAGTTTGAAAGTTCTGAGAAGCAGGTCTGTGTTCCTTTGAAAGTCACACACTGCAGGGCTGGTTTTAGATGGTTTAGATGTATTTTCCTTTGAACGCTCCTCTGTGAAGCTAATATTTGGCTGAACTAGACTTCTCTCATCCATGTGGCCTCTTTTGAATGCAGCAGTTGTTAGTTTTGCTTTTTGGCTTGATCATAAATTGGGGCAGGGTGTTTCTCAGATAGTTAAGAAAACATTTATTTATAAAAAGCAAAAATTCAACTAAATTTATATTATGCTTTATTTGTGTGTGTGTGTGTGTGTGTGTGTGTGTGTGTGTAAGTCAAAAGACAGCTCATAGGAGTCAGTTCTGTGTTTCTACCACTTGGGTCCTAGGGATGAAACTTAGGTCATCAGGCCTGACAGCAGGTGCCTAGGCCCTAAATTAAACTAAATTTTGTGAAGTTTTTCTTCCTCCTCCTTGTTCCTGGGACTCACTCATTTTTATTTTGTCTTTAAAATAAAAATATGGGGCAGCAGAGATGGCTCAGGAAGGCAAGTGTACTTGCTGCGGAAGCGGGACGACCTGGGTTCAAATACCCAGCATCCATGTCAGAGCTACACATGGCCTCTTGTGATTGTAACCCCAGTGCTGGGGAGGAGAGACAGGTAGATCCTGAGAGCTCGTTGGCCAAGCCACCTAACTAAGGGGATCTTCAGCTCAGTAAAGGACCCTGTCTCAAGACATAAGGTGGGGGGCGGTAGAGGGAGACACTTGGAGCCCTCTTCCGGCGCCTTCGTGCGTTCCTATGAGGACCCCAGAGCTACAAATACCGAGAATGCACAGGGCTGGGCACTCACACACAGTATAGAAGGAAAGGCAAGCAAACTGTTAATATCTGCTTGGAGAAAAGACTGATTTACTGTTGTCTTTAACTGTTTATTCAAAGGCCAGCAATCAAGGAATAATAAATGAAAGGGAAAATTATGGAGACTTGGTCTTGGGTGACAGTCGATATAGAGGGCCCTAGTGGGCCATAAACCAATGTGACTAATTAGAGATTGACCTCAGTCGGCTGTGGGATGGAGTCTGGCTGGATATTTATGAGATTCAGGTCGTAGCATTCAGATAACAACCGTCCTTGGAATTGATTCCTTTCTTTTCCAACCACCTTAAAATGAAAGAAACAAATAGAAAGAGAGAGAGAGAGAGAGAGAGAGAGAGAGAGAGAGAGAGAGAGAGAGAGGGAGAGAGAGAAGAAATGTAACCGCCATATCCCTGGTGGTGCATTCCACACTAAGGACAGCCGAAGGTCAAGCCTGACTCTATTCCTTCAGCATTTCTGCGGTCATCAGGGAGTGATTTGTGATGCCTAGCTCTCACGAACCTTGTGGTGAGAATTAATCTGATTTTACTGCTGGCATTTTTGGTGATTATGAAGGAAGGAAAGGAATAAAGTCCAAATCATCATGTGGACGAGCAGCCCTGGCTCAGTGTGGTGTCGGCTGTGTTAACAGACAAAGCTGGAAGAGCGAGCATGGCGGTTCTGGTGTCCCTGAGGGCTGGGTCCCTCAGTCAACTGAGTTTTGTAGTGGACGGTCGCTCTGCTTAGGGATTTGTTTTAGGAGACAGAGAATGAAGAATACAGCAAGAAATCAAAACATAGAAACAAAAATTCTCTACACCAAAACTCTGCCAAGTTTGAAGCAGACAGCCTGGGCCTGGGCTGAGAGTTTAGCCACTGTTTCTGGGTAGTGGAAACGGCCTGGGGCCAGACCCTGTGCTTTTGCTTTGGAGGAGGGGGCGGGGCTAGAGGAGTAGCTAGGCTGCTCAGGCGCAGGGTGCCAAGTGTAAGATCTGAGGGTGTGAGGTTGGCACTACAGAGACTCAGCACAGCGAGGTCTCTGGATTGTAGCACCTGTCTACAGGGACCCACCCAGGACGATATGTGGAGTGACAGGTGCCATCTGGTCTTTAGGTATCCACAAGACCCAGTGCCTTCTGCAAACATTAGTTACTGAAAACCTGTGAGGTTGCAGGCATTGAAGTTGGCCGTCTTGGGTTCTGCCTTTAAGAGGTGAGCCCGGTTTTGGCTGGTGTGGCCCATGATCAAAGCGGAAGATGCAGCTTCCAGCTGCTGAATGAAACGGAGAGAGCTGTAGGGTTTGTCTCGCACACTGAGGAAGTTGAGGAAGTTGTGCTAATTTTATTTTATCTTTGGTTTTCGTAGTCCCTGTAAGATCAGCTTCCAGGAGCAGGTGTCTTTGACTCCCTGAATGGTGGCCTTGTTAGGCCTTAGAGTCAGAGGGGGACTTTCAAGCGGTATTTTTGCCTTCTTTCAGTTTGGTGTGTGTTCCTGAGGCTTGACTTTAGTTATCGACTTAGTGGTTCTCAGGTTAGCCTTTGGCACTTTCCTTTTTAAGACATCCAGGCAGTAGCCAAGGGTGAGGACCTGCTCCTGAGTGAGTAGCAGACAGGTTCTCAGTTGTTCTGGGCCACAGAAAGAATCCTTGTTAAGAAACAGTTTGCCATGCTCTGGAGAAATGGCTCAGCAGTTAAGAGCACTGGCTGCTACACCAGAAGACATGGGGGAGCCACGTGGTGGCTCATAACTGCTAGTAACTCCAGTTCCAGGGGATCCCATGCCCTCTACTGGCCCTTGTGAGCACCAAGCATACACATGGCAGACATACATGCATGCAAAACACCCGTACACATAAAATAAAGACAAATTTAAAAATAGTTTATCACAGCAGAGATAGAAACTAAGACTGGGTTGATATCATGGTCAGGTTCCCCTCCTCCTTGCCCTATTTCTGCTGGGGTTAGACCTGGACTCTGCTGAAGCTTTAGCCCTCCTGTTCCCTAAGTGATTAGAGTGCTGTGGAGAAGGAGGACAGTTGCTTGGTACACTGCAGATCTGGGAACGTTCCATAGGATCAGTGGACTTTCTTCCCAGGACGCTGTTGTGTGTTCTCACAAAGTCCATGTTTCTGTAGTCCTCGTGAGAGGAGCAAACACATCTCTACTCAGCTAGCAAGACTTCTTCATCTCCACAAGGGGCTTCATGTCACTGGGGTCCTTCTGTATTTCCAGGTAGCCAAGTACATTAGAGTCCCCATAGAGACTTCATCCTTTGTTGGTGCCGTGTGGTCCAAGGGGAAATCCCCGAAATCCCTTGACCCGACTCCTTGAGGAGTAGAGGGTGAAGCAAATGCTAACACACTCCATGATTGTTGTCAGTTCTGGTTCTCTGAGCCTATCACTTTCAGGGAGCACAACGGACACCCTCAGAATGGTTTTGTGGGGACTACTGGGTGAGAGTAGCTCATAGCACTACCTGAAGAACGTTTAGTAATTCCTCCCTTGTTCTTCCCCCTAGAACTTTGTGTCACCAGAAGGTGAACTAGATGACATGGGTAGTTTTTTACCATTTTCTTTGTGAATTCTGCCTCTGAGTATAGGCAGTATTTTCCTGTCCCACAACCACTCTCAAATAATCACTCAGAGGCTTAAC